GGCAGGCAGAGAGCAAGGCAGGGGTCAGGCAAAAAACAAGGTCCAGAGGCAAAGATCAGGCAGGGTGGATGGCTGGAGAACTACTGGCAAGGCTGTAATAATCTGCCATCTGTTGACTGGATGGCTGGTTCTTTTATAGCAGGGGAAGCAGGTGAATGGGATGAGGCTGATTACAGGAGCAGGTGGAATGAATGGAGCTGATTGAAGCTGACAGGTTGCTGGGGAAAGCAGGGCTTGGCTGGAGCTTGGTGAGAGGAACCAGGTGAGCTGAATGAAGGTATAATGAGGAAGTGGAGGAGGGTGAAGGATGGGAGTCATGACAGAAACTACATGTAAACACTACACTGACTGAATGAGACCTAGCTGATGCTATCCTCACTGACCCTAATGTGTAAGCGCCATTTGAGCTCCAGCCACAGAAAGCACCTGTACCTGGCCTGTATTTTTAGAGTGCCTTCTTAGGGTCATACAACCCCCGAAGGCACTTCATAATATGTCATTCACCCATTCACACACTGGTGGGAATGAGCTACAATGTAGCCATAACTGCACTGGGGTACACTGACAGAGGCGCCACCGGTACCTCCGACCACCACCAGCAGGCAAGGGGGGTTAAGTGTCTTGCCCAAGGACACAACTGCAGCATTCACTGGTCAGAGCCGGGATCGGACCTGCAACCCTCTGATTACTGGACTACCCGCGCTACCTCCTGAGCTACTGCTACTATGTTTGTAAAAACATGTTAGTCACTGATTTGGCTCAGGCTTTCACTTTGTTTAAGCTTGTGATGCTGAGAGTCGTAGGTTTTCACCCTGTTGTTTTCAAGCTGAATAACTTTTTATCCATGTATTACCTCAGTGATGTACTCCTCGCATACAAAACACTCAACCCTTACAGAGGCTCTTATGTTCGACCTTCTAAATCATTGTGAGGTGTTCCAGCAGGTTAAGTTTATGTTTTTCAGCTTCTAACATTAAAATGTAGAGTCGCTTTGCCACAGTTTCCTTTTATCAGGAATGCACTTCTGCTAAATCATATCAAAAGTGACTGCCAATGTGCTATTATGGTACAGTACCATTTTTGTACTTCAACCAAGTATAGCAAGCATTATCTATCTATCTATCTATCTATCTATCTATCTATCTATCTATCTATCTATCTATCTATCTATCTATCTATCTATCTATCTATCTATCTATCTATCTATCTATCTATCTATCTATCTATCTATCTATCTATCTATCTATCTATCTATCTATCTATCTATCATCTATCTATCTATCTATCTATCTATCTATCTATCTATCTATCTATCTATCTATCTATCTATCTATCTATCTATCTATCTATCTATCTATCTATCTATCATCTATCTATCTATCTATCTATCTATCTATCTATCTATCTATCTATCTATCTATCTATCTATCTATCTATCTATCTATCTATCTATCTATCTATCTATCTATCTATCTATCTATCTATCTATCTATCTATCTATCCATCTATCTATCATCTATCTATCTATCTATCTATCTATCTATCTATCTATCTATCTATCTATCTATCTATCTATCTATCTATCTATCTATCTATCTATCTATCTATCTATCTATCTATCTATCTATCTATCTATCTATCTATCTATCTATCTATCTATCTATCTATCATCTATCTATCTATCTATCTATCTATCTATCTATCTATCTATCTATCTATCTATCTATCTAGCCGTCCGTCCGCCTGTCTTTCCATCATTCATTTGTTATCTGGGAGATGTTAGACTCATAACTTGCACTCCTTACCACTTGTTGGTGGTAATTATGTTGTTACCCAACCACTAATAAAAACCACAAGAAGAAGGGGAAACAAAAAGGCGTGATTCAGAGGTTTAGTCCATGGACATAAAACGTGGTTCTGTTCAGTAATGGATTCGTGAAGCTTTGTGAGGGCTTTCCAGCTTCATTGATTCAACCATAAAGCGATATCTGCAAGATATCAAGTTGAAAGAATGTGTCATTAATGCTGCAATTACCATCACTAATTATAAAGCATTTTTTCTACATGTAGCCTACTTCAGAACTTGCGAGACGCGCGACCAGACTAAACACCCATGCCCCAAACTAAAGCAGATGTTGTCTCTTGTACTGTAATACCAGGAAAAGTCTGCTTTTTCAGCTATGGCTTGCTTCTCTGCGGTTCAGACGGGGCGTATGTGCATTTTTCACTGTCATCTTTAGTTTGAACAAATTTCCTCATCAGTGTTTACCGGCTTAAGTTTGCGTCAAACCAGAAATACTGAAACTGCAGAAGTTGTGTTGTTTTTAGACACAAGTCAGCTGGTGCGTGAGCTACCGTTATTTTATACACTTTATTTGCTGGTTGAATGGGGGATGCTGTGTCATTTAACTGCTTGGTCAAACATGTTAGTGGGGCTGCTGGCTGGATAAAAAACTTGAGCGGTGCCCAGCTTCTCCAGTCTCCTGCCTGAGAATAGCAGGCAGCTGGCTGTTCCCGTTTCCCGGGCAGTGGAGCTAGCTACGAAGCAAGGCTGTCGTCATGCTGGTCAATTGTGGATCTCTGCGGGAGACCACAGAAACACCGCAGCTCTTTTTGCTGACGCTGCTTCACCTTTAAGTTGCTCAACTGTATTTTGCTTGCTGAAAACACTAGGAAAAACCCTGTTAGCTTCAGGTTACTATGTAGCTAACATCCCGCTGATCTCTGGCTCCTGGAGAAGGGACCATCAACAACGGCGGACAAGCGGATCTTTCACTTCAGTGGACCAGCGAAGCCCAATATCCTCGGTCAGCTTACCTAGTTATGAATTTGTTACCAAGCAGGCCGGAGGTGCATTTACTCTGGAGTCGCTCTACCGCATTTTTCTTGCTGAAAACAGCTGGGAAAACGCCGTTAGCCTTGGGGTAGCTAAAGAACTGTTGTAAAAGCACACGGCACCTGGTTATGATCGCAGCGGTCTGAGGCTCCGCTTGTAATTTAACAGTCTCAGTCCATATTGGATCTCCACAGGAGACCAGCATGACTACAGTCTCGCCTGGGAGCCAGCCTGCCATGCGGGTGGGAAACCCCGGTCCAAGGAGCCCTTCCTAGTTTCTTGGGTTAGCTAAGTTAGCTAGTAGCTATACTGGTTCATTTGTTCCATGGAGATCTGGAGCTAGAATGGCGAAAGAACGCGTTCGTAAACCCGTTCATGCACTCCAGGATGAATGCACACACTTTTACGTTCGTTAGGCAAAATACGAACGAGTTCAGTTCACATTCACGAAAAAAACCAACAAATTCACGAACGATCATTCAATGAATGGCGTTCAGGCACAACACTGCCTGTGAATGCACTAATATGCTAAATCAATCCACAAATGCAACCTACAAACAACAGTACTCCACCCAGAAGCCAGCTGTTTGTTCTATTGAATTTTTATTTATGCTGTTTCATTCCCTAAATGGTCAGCAGCACCTTGAAGCAGCCTTAAAGTTTCCTTGTGCTTAAAACAGCATGTCATTGTGCAATGGCAAATGAAGCATTTCATTCTATTCTGAAATAGGAAATGTTTAATTAAGCATCATCCCAATAATTTAGCATCAAGTCATAAATCACTTAAAGTGTTCTTTACTGAGAGATTAGAAATGTAAAGATAATCAGAGGACCACGTTCTGCCCAGTTTGGGGAAAATAAAACATCCTCATGGTAAATCTGTTTGATTCATAACCAGTTGAAACAAATTACCACATGGTCAGCAGCAAATGAGTGGTGGCACACACACACACACACACACACACACACACACACACACACACACACACACACACGCGCGCACACACACACACACACACACACATACACACACACACACACACACACACACACACACACACACATTTCTGTTGTTTTTCCACAGGTGAAGCAGAGATTCGTGCACAGACAGAGGAGAAAACACAACGGATTACTGAACAGCGATCGGTAGCACTGTAATATCCTGTGAAACACCTTGGCAATAACACGATAGCTGTCAGCCCTGGGATATAAAAATCTCGGACTACAACAGATGCAGTGAAAATCTGATTGAGCCCGGTGTACAGTGGAGAAGAGGAAAATTTGGCCACATGGCTGATAAAGACTGAGTGGAGCCAAAAACATCTCCCTCTGATCAAAAACAGGATGTGAGAAAAAGACATGATGATACTGAGCAGCTGCAAGAACCCACCTGAGTGAGTTCCTTTAAATGTGACCTTCGCTCCAGTAATCACCGACGAAGGAGCCCCACTGTGTCAGCTGACAGCTACTAACCAGCTGGGTGTTGGTCAGACAAGACTTCTGCCTCCACAATCAGCAGGGTTACATTTAGACGAACCCTCCTCACTTCCTTTTTAGAGAGCGTATTCATCAGCTTTAGCGATTTTTGGTTTTCTTTTGATTTTTGTTAAAAGCCAAAACAGTTAGATGGTTTTCAGCCTTTACCCTTGAGCTTGTCTTGTTTGATTTATCTCCACATGTAGAGTAATGGTCTGTAGATGCAGTCAGTAGTAGGGACAGAACACAGCAGCGTATTTACCGTCTCTAATCTATACACAAGCCTGAGCTACCATGTTTTTGTTTACTTGACGTGAAGCTGAAACACTTTGGCCACGCTGTTGTTTAGCATTCAGATTGTAGATGGCTGTTAAAGCTCACTGATGCTGTGTGATGCTAAGTCTGTGCAGGTTTTAAAACGCTAACACGCTGCCTACTTTTTCTTTCTTTATCCTCCTTCACCAAAATATCTAATAAAAAAAATTAAAATTAAATTAGTTGAGTTCATTTGGCTGAATCTGTGTTTAATGCAGACCTGTTAGATGTTCTCATCGGCCTTTGCCTGAGCCTAAAGACAAGGCTGCTGGGCCTTTAAACCCAGTAATCCTCAACATTTTAAGCATGTTGTCTTTGATGTTTTGGTCCTTTATTGACTGGGATAACATGTTTTTTATTACTTTATACAGGACCCTCTCTTGTCCACAAACAATGACCCAATGAACCGAACAGACTGTCCTGAGGTGAAGGTCCCCTTTCCCGTCTTCTTCGTCATCGGAGCGGTCAGCCTGGCTGAGAACCTTCTGGTTGTGGTGGCTGTCATAGGTAACAGAAACCTCCACTCGCCCATGTACTGCTTCATCTGCAGCTTGGCTGCCTTCAACACCATTGCCAGCCTAACCAAAACCTGGGAGAATCTGATGATGGTTCTAGCTGACGTGGGTCAGCTGGAGAAGAGAGGAACTTCTGAGACCAAGCTGGATGACGTGATGGACTCCCTGCTTTGCATGTCGTTTGTAGGCTCCATCTTTAGCTTTCTGGCCATCGCTGTGGACCGGTACGTAAGCAGAAACAAGCTCTTTCTGTTTCGTTCTGCCCGGGGCCAGAAATGTGGAAATTGTTTGTTTTCAGCTTCTCCTTTCAGGTGTCGCCACAGCGAATCATCTATCAGTGTTTAGTCCTATATTATGCATTCTCTACCTTTAAACCTACTAATTTCCTTTTGGTGTCAGAAGCATTAGGTGTCCACCTCATATTCAGAGGGTTGCAGGTTCATCTCCTGCTCTGTTGCATATGCTGGTTTCTTTCAAAGTACATCTGATAACGCATTAGGATTCTCTCGCATTTTACAAATAATGAAGTGGCTGCAGGTTTCTCTTACTGTTAGCTTTATTTTAACTTGTGCTACGTATTCTGTTTTAGTTGACTGTAGTTTTAATATTTTAGAATGCTTTTTTGGCTTTGAAGTTTTCATTTGTTTTTTATTACTATTACTGTTGTGTAGCTCTTTGGGGTGACGGTGTTGCCGTTTAAATGTGCTCTGTAAATAAAGGTTGACTTGACAAAAGCTGCTTCCTGTCTTTTAGCTACATCACTATCTTCCATGCCCTGCGCTACCACAACATCATGACCATGAAGCGAGCTGGAGTCATCTTAGGAGCCATCTGGACATCGGGTGGAGTACTGGCCGTGCTCATGGTCAAGTTCTTTGACTTCAAGTTCATCATGATCTGCTTTGTTGTCTTCTTCATCGTGTCCTTGGTAGTCATCTGCTTCCTGTATGTCTACATGTTCATGCTGGCTCGCATTCATGCCAAGAGCATCGCAGCGCTTCCTGACGGAAGCAGGGGAAGGTCTCGGCGCCAGCAGAGGTGGAGCAGTAACATGAGAGGGGCTCTGACTCTCACCATCCTGTTTGGAGCCTTTGTGGTGTGTTGGGCACCATTTTTCCTCCACCTCATCATCATCACAGTGTGCCCCATGAACCCATACTGCGAGTGTTACAGATCCCTGTTCCAGCTGCACGTGGTGCTGATGATGAGCCACGCCCTCATTGACCCAGCCATCTACGCCTTTCGCAGCGTCGAGCTCCGACACACCTTCAAGAAGATGCTGCTTTGTTCAGAATGCCAGTAGTGTTCTTTCATAGAGAGAGAAGTTTAATGAGAAATTAATGAGAAATTAAAATCAATAGTGCAATATAATATAACAAAGAAACATTTGCAGGTTTACAAGCAAACACACAACTTACACAATGCTAAGAATGGGCGCGGGCAGAAGCATAAGCTTATAAGGAACTGATTGTAGCTTTTTAGGTGGGTTTCTATGGAACAGTGTCCCACCTGCTGCAGATGGCTCTTAGAACCACCTCAGTTTGATTGGTCCTTCCATATTTAGCTTTGAGCTTATCAATTAGGTCAAAACTACGTTATTTCTGCATACTGAGGTGGATCAAAGAGCTACAACTGTTAAGATGACAAATGTTCATAACATGTACACAGAAACTCCCTTTTCAAGGACCAGGGGCTTCATTTATAAAACGTTGCATTGAATCCTTACTGAAACCTTTAAGCTAGAGCTTTAACATTGATGCCAGTGATGGTTTTTAAAGGGTTATAAACTTGACCAGTTTCATGTCTGACACCACTCGGCTGCTGACCATAGGCTGCAGCTTGGTGGAGGTGCTCTATGGCTCTCTTCACGTGTTATGCTAGCAGTCAGCATATTCAGTTTATCGACTGTCAATAAAAAGCACAAGAAAAAAATATTCCTTTTTCTGCTGGCATCATGGTGGAGCCTGGGAGTAAAAGTAAGAGTAATGTCTTTGGAGATGAAGCAAAGAGAAAAACCTGAGGGAACATTGGTGCGGCCTAGGCTAATCTGAGGGAGCTAAAAGAGGCTAACAAAATCACAGACTGATGGTGACCTGGCTTTGTTGCTACTGGACTTGTAAGTAATAATATTTTTGTCCAACAATGTGAATCTTTTTACTTTTTGGTTTATTTTAGTAGTGTTTGTTCACGTTACTGTTAGCTTGTTAGCGTTAGCTACAGCAGGCTGCAGCGGGGTTGTTTACAACAGTAGGGTAAGGGAAGGGAAGATCAGGAAACCGCTTGCTGTTACTTTAAGCTCAGCAAAAACACCTTTTTCTTTTGCAAACTATAAAACTCTGAGACAGTGTGTAGATTTTACCGTTAATCTCTGGAAATCTCCATGAATGAAATGATGCCCAGTTGTTGAAAAATATCGGCGGCTTCGTAACATATAACCAGAAAATTTTGTTCTAAAATACATCGAAGCGGGTCTCTCTGGGCTACCACATATTAGCCATCTTTCCTTCTACGGGAGCCCGTGAGGACAAAATGCATTTACTGATTTGTAACAAACAAATGTGCTCAGGTGTTTCTGGATGTGTTTGTGGATTACGCCCCGCCTCCTACACATCCACTCCCTGCTATATATGGTGTGAATGGTCAATTCAAATCACTTTATGAATATCCTGCATATGCGTAAGCTGCTGATTCATGGGTAACCATGACAACCAAGACAGAAATCGAGGCTCTGGGATGTGACATAGGCATGGAAACATTTTACCATCTCACCGGCTATACGCTGCCAGCTGTCCCGTCTCCAAAATGTACTTCGAGCAGGTCTAAAGTTTGCTTTTTTGCCACTTATTCTGTCATATCTTTCTTTATAAATCACAAAGTTTGCATGGAAAGCCGCTTATGCAGTTTTAGACCTCGTTTTCTGGGTAAGCAGATTTATAAACGAGGCCCCTGGTCTATTCCTTTAAAGAAAGTCTTGTTTCCATTCATGTTATTTATTCACTTTAGTGAAGATGCACTTAATCCTGACTACAGCCTGTATTTTTTAGGTAAATGTGTAAAACACCTGGGTACAAGGAGTCTGACTAATGGAGGGAGTGGAACAACTGCATCCCCTTTTTAGTTGAAGTGGGAGGCAACCTTGGTGCTAAAAACACCAAAATGTGACTGATTCTTACTCGGTCGCTCATGCAGCTAACGAGCTTTAAACCATCAGGGGAGCTTTGTTTTAAGAGGCACCAAGCTAGTTCGTGGCCTTTTGGGACCAGAGAACCTCCGGCACTGGGTTAAATCCAGGATTCTTCATCCCGATATGGAACAGTTTACGATGAGACGGATCTGGACATTCAAACGGATATTAGTTTCACCTTCTGCTTTTATTCATACATAAATACATAAATAGAAGATTTCATTTGAAGCCACATAAGCAACACAGACATCAATCAGTTCATCTTGCATTCACATTTGTCCACTGTCACTAGACCCCAGGTCATGTGTCCTCCCCAGCTGGTAATCGTCTCGCTGCATGTGCGCACGAGCTTGAGCTTGCAATTAGCAACCACAACACGGGGTTAACCTCGGTGCAGCGGTCAGTTCAGCTGCTTCATCTGAGTGATCAGTAAACAATACTGAATTCATACATCCAACATACAGATGTGTACAGAAAACTGTTTTAACTCAGATAAATCAACCACAAACAGGTCTACAGTGTTTCTGCAGAAGCAGTTCTTAGATCTGCGTTCGTAAAAGATTTGTAAAACATTTCAAAGGATGCAAGGATAACACGAGCACAGCACATAACGGAGGAAAACAACATCTTAGCACTGTTTACATCCAGCTTTACATACACTTCTTCATTTGACACCGTTATGAATAAAAAATGCCTCGGATGGGCTCGGGGAAGGTGTGCTGTTTTCTTGACAGAAACTGGTGTCTAACGCAGCAGTGATGTAAACCGTTGTGTTTCAGCAGATGGCTGAAGCCTTTTGTTACAGCACTGGATCAAGCTTGTCAGTTGGGAGGTAGGCACCAGAACACAATCACACTGAGCGCTGCAATGCTATTTTTACATTCAGTGTTTTACATTTCAGCGGAAACCTCATGGCATCTTAGCTTAGCGGAGATGGAGAAGAGATCAGGCAGGAGAGGAGCGTCACATTCAGATCTGTGGGGATAGCGCTGGCAGACTGGAGGGGGCTGCTTGGTAACTGTAGCACTAAGAGCAGCACTAAGAGCAGGGCACAACAGGGAGGGAAACTGGCTGTTTACAAGTGAGGAAACTGGCTGTTTACAAGTGATGCTGTTCAAAAGTTCAGTTCAGCTCAAAGCCAGCTTTTCTCCATTTCCAGATAACAAGCTAACGTGCAGCATGCGTGAGGCTGGACTCCAGACTGCCTCAGATGTGGATAAAATGATTCATTCTGTTTGCAGCAAGAGGAGAAACCACATCAGTGAAACTGGACTTAGACTATTCTAGAACCATGCTGAAAGATGTTGGGATGTGTCGTCACACACATGAATCCTGTGCTTTTGGGGCTGAGAGTGCTGATAATCCTGTTTTTATTAAAGAGAATTTTAATGTGAGGACCGTCAGGCTGTGTGCATCCTTTTTCCTCCTCCTCATCGTTATTCTGATGTACTGTTTTGGTGTTAATCATCTGAATACGGACCTGCTGATTAACCACACAGCTACTCATCAGGATGCCGCTTGGCTCACGCTGTTATCTCTGTACACACACACACACACACACACACACACACACACACACACACACACACACACACACACACACACACACACACACACACACACACACACCTGGGTTTCTGTTCCATAACTAAACACATCTAAATGGAAATCTTGTAATCTGTGCAGCCAAAGAGGTCGAGTCAAGAGTCTGTAGAAAATTGAGCCCAAATTAGAAAACTGAAGTCTTTTTAGTTTTTCCTGTGACATGGATAACTATCGCTGCTGACAATATAATTCTCGAGGCTCCAGTGAAACAGATTCATGAGGGGAAGTAAACTTTTAGTTACGCTGAAGAATAACCAGAGAAGTAAACGAGTTGGGATTTAGTCCTGCTTCTACAAAGGAGACCTTGCAGATTTAAAGGATGACACCCAGAAATTCTTCTTTGTTCCTTTTATTGTATTTTGGGGGATTTATTAGTCTCTGATATTTGATCGTTGTTAGTCAGGGCTGCTGCAGTTGTCATAAGTCCACGTTTAATACATTTTACACATTTTTTGGCTAATGCAAATTTTAAAATCCAATAATTTATTTGTATGTATTTTTATAGCAGCACGTTAAATAAAAGTGCATTACGTTGGTTATTGCATGACATCGATGGTCCACCAGAGAGCCGAAAACATGTTTTTCATCCAGCAGATTTTTTGAGGAAGATACTAATCCTGTCAGTGAAGAAGAGCTTAAGGTGTGGGTTACCAGGTCTATGCAAACCGCCATCACAACAACCAAAGCGACAGACTTTCTATTTTTGTTTATCTCACACACTGACCTTGGATGGAGTTCAGATACTAATGATGGCGACCAAAGCATGTTGTCCATCCCCAGCATGTGTTATTCCATCTGAACTGCTTTAAAAACCGAGGTCTGATTCTGATTCATGAAGTTATTCAGCTATAGTTCACATCCAGGAAACAAGAGGCAGCAGCGTGAAACTGTGTATAAATAAGAATAACTATAGAGAAGTTCTGACGGCTTGTTTTCAAAACTTTAGTTGTTGCTGACTTCACTGCCTCTGATACTCATTCATGTGTGGGGTCCTAATTACTGAGGGTGTGCTTATTAGTGCTCCAGAGCAAGGCTGAGGGGAGAATAAATGTGCAAAGATGATTAAAATCAGGAACACCCGCATTCCTCATCAGTCACATCCTGTCAGGAAAATATAATAATCTCACTGATCAGGAAAAAGTAGGAGTCAAAGGAGAAATGTGAGAGAGCGTCAGCGAGAAGCGCAGGCCTCGTGTGCAGGATTGTCTGCTGCTAACTGGTTATTTGGATAACGAAGCCCAACAATTATCCTCTTTGTGCAGATATGTCTGAGTCCAGTAGGATGCATTTCATTGGTCGTTGTCAGTAATAGTCTGGCAAGGAGCGAAACGGTCAGCAGATACAGGATTTCAGTGTTGAACATAATTTTTGTTCCAGTCTCAGGTTGGCTTCAGTCCATCCATCATTCCTGTAGCGTGGTTGGTTTCCTGTTGCTCAGTACTTACCGGTCAGAGCACAGATGTTGGTGCAGGCGTTTCTCAGACTGTAACAACAGATGATCTCCTTGAAAGTCTTCCTCATCTCCTGACTCCTGAAGGCGTAGATCAGCGGGTCGATCACTGCGTTACACATGATGAGGATGAGGTACATGTTGAAGTGGGACATGAAGCACACACAGTACAGGTTACGGGGGCAGGAGATCATGAGAATGAGGTGAAGGAAGAAGGGAGCCCAGCAGACGATGAAGATCCCCAGCAGGATGGTGAGAGTGATGGCTCCCTTCATGCTGGCGCGCTGATGGATGGAGTTGTAGCCGGGCAGGGCGGCAATGCGCTTGACGTGTGAGCGGGCCAACATGAACATGTGGCTGTAGAGGGAGGCCATGATGAGCAGCATGGCGAAGAACATAGATACCAGGCAGATGACGACAGGGGTGGTCTCAGAATAAATGATGAAGACAATCCCACAGCCTGTGCAGAAGGTCCAGATGCCTCCGATGATGCAGCCGGCTCTCCTCACTGTCATGATGTTGTGGTACCGCAGCGCATAGAAGATTGTGACGTACCTGCAGAAGATGACAAATCTAAGATCACTGAAAACGTCAACTGCAAGGCATCGAGGCTGCAGCCGTAATAAAACCAAAGCTGTCTTTTATAAAGGTTATCCCAGTGTGTGCCAAATGTAAACATTACCACAGGTCAAAAACTAAATATTCAGCATATTTAAATTCCTTTTTGCTTGTTTGTCAGATGATGAGCTCTTGTTTGTGAACTTCATGTTTGTGTTTTCTACAGTTGAGTTAGGGTCAGGGTCTGTTCAAGTTAAAGACTCAAGAAGAACTGATGTGGCAGGATGGCTTTCTGACACAGCTGCCTTTCATAATTTAGTTGGGGGGGGGGGGGTGATATTTAATAATACTGTAATTACATGACTCCACCGTTACCTGTCTACAGCGATAGCCAGCAGGCTGCACATGGATGCAACCACAGAGATGCAGATCATGGAGTCGAAGACGTTGTCCATCTGCCTGATGAAGTGCTCTTCCACCACCAGCTGCCTGTTGTTGAGCAGGTAAATGATGATGGTCTCCCAGGCGTTGGACACACTCACCAGCATGTCTGCGACTGCCAGACTGCAACAGGCAGGAAGATAAACGGAGTTGTTCACAAAGCTCCAGTACTATAAGAAGAGCTGTCAGAATACCAGATGAAGTCTCCTGCTGTGCAACGACACATTCAAGTCGTTTAGGGAACGAATACATGATCTGATGTTCTCTTTAGTTGAAGATGATTCATTCATGCAGAGATTTCAGACTCAAGGATTCAAACCTCAGGCTTACGCAGCAGCTGTTAGAACTCACCACACAGTCTTTGTCTTTAAACGCTTGGCCTTCCTGTAGCTTGGTTATCGTAGTGGAATGTTTCACTGATTTGTTTGTCACTCCTTTCATTTGAACTCATTTTTAGTATTTTATCTCATAATGCACAAAAGCGTCTTTGAGTATCCATCCATCCATTGTCTGAACCCGCTTTGTCCACGTAGGGTCACGGGGGTGGGTGGTGGGGGTTGCTTATCTCCAACGGTCAATGGGCAATCAGGTGGGGTACACCCTGGACAGAGAGCCAGTCCATCGCAGGGCAACACGGAGGCACACAGAACAAACAATCATACACACACACACACACACACACACACACTCACTCACACACACACACACACACACACACACACACACACACACACACACACACACACACACACACACACACACACACACACACACACACACACACACACACACACACACACACACACACACACACACTCACACCTAAGGACAGTTTAGACAGACCAATCAACCTAACAGTCATGTTTTTGGACTGTGGGAGGAAGCCGGAGTACCCGGAGAGAACCCACGCATGCACAGGGAGAACACGCAAACTCCATGCAGAAAGATCCCAGGCTGGGAAGCGAACCCAGGACCTTCTTACTGCAAGGCAACAGCTCTAACCACTGCACAGGTCTTTGAGTATCATGTAAATTATTTCATAAATAAAGCATCATTATGAGTAGTAAAGACTGTAATGTGTTGGAAAGTTGCACGTGATAAATAAAATTGTTTTCAATATTCTGTAAAGACTCCAAGAGGTCAAGCACTGGCCTTGGTCTAGAAAGTTTCCAAATTCATCCCAAAGGCGATTAAAAGGTTTGAGGCAGGGCTCGGTGCAGACCCGCCTCTCTTCATAGTTCTTGTTTGTACTCCGAGGAAAAGCAGTGTACATGCAGATAAAGTGTTGCAACGATGTTGGAAGCACTGAAGCCGTCTAGAACATCTTGGTTAGCTGAGGTATTAAATGGTCAGCCAGAGAGATAGAGAGCAAACCCTCATCCTGACATACAGACCCAAACCATTACCCTTCCTCCACCAAACTTCACATGTTTTCCCAATGCACCCAGAGAGTAACCTTCTCTGAACATCTACCTGCTGATCTCACCACCAAACATAGATCTGCTCTACAGTCTCTTTAGTTAATCTTGGTTACACATGGTGTGAATGCAGCTACTTGACACCCGAACCCCACTCCATCAAGCCCCGCCACACACTTCACACCTCTCCCAGTGGAAGTTCACAACTCCTCATCAGTACAACTTTAGCACCTCAGCAGTCTTTGACCCACCGGGTCTTCCACTTCCTGCGTTGGTGCTGTTCCTGAACTCTTCCACTTCCTAATATGCCATGGATCATCCAGCAGAGAGGGAATTTCACAAGTCATCTTACTTCAAAGGTGGCTTCGGGTTACTGTACCAGGTCTGAGCCAGTCTGACGTACTGGGCGCTGTAGGCCCGTTGCATCATGGGATAGCTGTATGTATAAACAACGTTTGCTTTGTGTGTTGTGGGTTTATAAACCTGCAGAAGATGGTATACTCATGTTGTGTGAAGGGTTGCCATACCAGTTCACACAAGTACAAGAAGTAAAACCTGGATAACGAGAAGAATTTTTCTGTTTCCTGCTTGGAAAAGAAGTTCTGGACAGAAAGTAGGAGGACTAACAAAGAAACCACATCCCCCCACATGCGTGTCTGCTCGCAGCATTTTCATAAAGGCAAGTAAAACAGTTGTTTTGTGTCGGCGATCTGAGTGAATGTCTGTTTTCATCTCCTAAACCTCTGCCAAACATGGAGGGCAGTTGAATCCAGAGGTGGGCAGTAATTCACTCAGAAAGGCTTTTCTTCTTCATTATGTTATTTGTATAATTTCTTTCTCTTTAGTCTTTAAAGTACCACAGTTTGTCCATGACGTTGTGTGTTTTTGTCTGAAAGATGAAATCATTTAAAATTATCAGATATATCTAAAAACTCAAATAGTGTTTACCATTATTGGAGTGATGTTTTTGGACAGGTACTTTTTACTTTTACTTGATCACAAATAAGTAAATAAGTACTGCTACCCTTACTCAGCCTCCTTCACATGTGTATTCCTCATTCTCCTTACCCACCTTTTTCACAATTGTGGGCCAGGGGGGTGTGGTTTATAGGCAGGTCGTGTCTGACAAAGACCGGCGTCACTAATGAACCTACACTTAACAGTTTAAAGGTGCATTATGTAAGAATCTTCTTAGTGTCATGGTTGCTGCCAGCTATGGCTCAGCAGGGCTGTACTGTGCGACTTATGTGTCTCACGTGAGATGGAAAAAACTCTATAAAATTATTTTTAGACCTAGCACTCGTGCTGATGGTTGGAGTTACTTTCTTTCCCCAGAACTTTATTGAACAAATGTAAGCTCCTTTTTTTTTGTGCGACAGACAAAGCCATAGCACGCCACTGTGCCAAATAGTGGTCTATTGTGATAACACATGTACCTTGTCAATATAATTACTCTTATATTCTACTACAATTCCCACCATGCTTGCATGTTCTCATGAGTTTACTTGAACACAGAGTATGCATGTGCTTCAGAGAATCAGGCGGGATTGGGAAAATTGGAGCGGGATTTCAAACCATTAACATAACAGCAAAACAAACCAATGGAAACAAGAAAAAAGAAAAACACAACCAGCAACAATCCGAGGTACGTCTGAGAAAGGAAAAGTTATGATAATGATAAATGACCCACACTTGTAGAGCCTTTCAGTCAGAGAGCTCCAAAGCGCTGTACGCTACAGTGTATCATTCATCCATTCACACACTGATGGTGATGAGCTACGCTGTAGCCACAGCTGCCCTGGGGAGCGCTGACAGAGGCGAGGCTGCTGAACACTGGAGCCACTGGTACCTCCGACCACCACCAACAGGCAAGGCAAGTTAAGTGCCTTGCCCAAGGACACAACAGCAGCATTCTCTAGTCAGAGACAGGATCAAACCTGCAGCCTTCTTATTACAAGACAACCCGCTCTACCTCATGAGCTGCAGCTGCCTTAAGTACAACACAGCAGTGTTGGAATGAGTTCATTGAACATCAGTTTGTGAACTTGTTTGTTTATTTTTGGTTTATTTGTGAACGAGAATAGAACTCATTTATATTTTACCTGATGAACACTAAAGTGAGCGCGCTCATTCTGGTGTGTTTGAACGGGTTCATGAATGGCGCTCTCTCCCTTCAACAGCTCCAGATCTTCAAGGAGCTAGAGCCTTTTGGGCCCGATACACGGGAGGCGACATCGCCTCTCTTCCATCCTTTTTCTGCGACACACTCTATAACCGGGGGTCTCCCTCTTTCTGAGCGACACAGGCGAGCCAGCGATGTCATGCCAGAGATTTGAGAAAATTGAAACTTTTCATCACTGTCACTCGCACAACGACCAATCAGCGGAGGTTTCATTGACTGACCAACCATCGTGAACAGTCACGATGCTTCTGAGTACATCTCTGGGCAAACCTGAAGTTACCACTTGCCGTGTCGGATTTCCCAGAGCTTTACAACATTTCTACAAAAGAATAAAGAGATCTTCACAAAAAGGCAGCGGCATGGAAAAGTATTGGTGAGTTGGTCGTTGGTGTGGTCTCATTTTCACCGTTTCTTTATCTGTCTGTAATACAGGATGAACCCGTTCACATATTTTAGTTTATACAGTAAAGTCAGAAGTTAACTTCATATCTACAGCTGTTTCAACTCTGAACTGCTGTAATAACCCAACATTCCTTCCAATCTGGTGGCCAATCAGAACAACGGAAGACTCGCTATTCGCCCTGGAACAGAGTGCGTCGCTGGCTGTTGCCACCTACCGCTGCCACATGTCGCCTCCCATGTGTCAGGTTATCAAAGCAAAAAGTTTCGCTGATCACAGTCGTTTGTTGCCTCCCATGTGTCAAGCCCATTAACTAAAACCTAACCCTACCCTAACCCTAAAACTTTGTAAAACATAGACCCCTCAAATGCAGCCTCCATAGGCAGTAGCAGTCGGAGTAGTATCTACTCTTCAGTGTCTATGCTGTTGAGGACGGATCTCTGTAATGAACAAATCTACACTAATTAGAATGAATGAAAATGTCGTTTTTTTTATTACACTGACAAACATGTCTGAATATGTTTCTTGTTATTGTGTTTCCATTATATCCAGTACTAGTGTTTGTCAGTGTGTTTAGGTAATTATAAGAACTACTTTTGGTTTTCAGAGATTATAAATGATTTTGTGTTAACACTTTACAAATAAAGGCCCCTTTATTATTGTTATTATTGCATTATTAAGCAGTAACAAAAGAAGGAGCACTTAGTTAACATTACTGGTGTTAATAACTATTAAGTGTCCCTAAGTTTAGGACAAAGGGCTAGGGTGGGGCATCCTGCTTAGTAATGCATCATCTAAAATGAAAATTACAGTTTTTTTCAGTCGCTAACAAGCGTTTGTCCAACCAGCTGTCACATTTTCATAACTCTAAATACAAGTAGCACAGCATTGGTGTTTTGTGGCCATACAATTCACACATTTCATGTTGTTTTCACACAAAATGCAGTCAGTCCACAGATTTCCATGATGTTAACATTGTCTCAGCAGAGAAGCTATTCCTTCCAACAAAACTATGGATTGTTTTTGTAGTATTTGCGAATGTTAACACACAACATCCCACAATAGCAAAAACAATAGTCCTAACCTTAGATGCAGTATAAAAACCTCTGCTTCTGCATGT